GAGATATTTTTCTACGAAGCTGTCCGAAAATTTCACCGAGTTTCCTGTGTGCTGTCGATGAAATTCAGTGGAATTTTGCAACACATTCAACCAAAAAATTGTCTGTACAAAAATAGAATGGCGGCGAAAATTATGAAACGTCGCATGGCGCTTGTGATAATTTCGCCGGAGGGTGACGATATTACCTCCGGCCGGAACTTGGACTGATTGTCAAACTTTATTTCAATTTCAGATTTTCTTGGATTCTCTCCAAAATTCCAAGCTTACATCCCCGAAACAATTGCAAATATTGAAATTGTCACCCTCCGGCCAAAGTATCACTAGCGCCATGCGACGTTTAAAAATTTCCACCGCCATTTTATTTTTTTACAAAGATATTTTTCAACGAAGCTGTGCGATTGCACTAAATTTTCTTTGTGCTGCCGATAGAATTCAGTGAAATTTTCAAACAGTTTCTCTGTAAAAAAATAAAAAGGCAGCGAAAATTTCGAAACGTTTTATTCATGGCGCTTGTGATACTTTGGCCGGAGGGTGAGGATATTACCTCTGGCCGGAACTTAGACTGTTCGTGAAACTTTATTTCAATTCCAGCTATTTTCTTGGATTCTCTCCAAAATTCCGAGTTTACATCTCCGGAACAATAGCAAATTTTGAAATGTTTCCTGATTTGGGACAATTTTCAACTCGACGAGGCTTAGGCCAAATATCAATTTCAGCTATTTTCTTGGATTCTCTCCAGAATTCCGAGTTTACATCCCCGGAACAATAGCAAATATTGAAATGTTTCCGGATTTGTGGACAGTTTTCGACTCGACGAGGCTGAGGCCAAATATAAATTGGACGTATTTCTATCAAACGGAACTATGTGCATTATGACGTGAGCCCTGTTATGCGTGTATTCTAAAGGGCAGTGGCGTAACGGACTTCCGCTGGGCCCCCCTGCAAAATTTTTTCTAGGGGCCTCCTAAGTCGATAAAATTCCAAAATTATCCCCCCCTCTCCCTTCCTCACCCCTTCCCGTTTTTTCTCGTATGGTCTAGGCCCGCAGCCCGAAAATTTTTGAGAAAATCAGCCTTAACCACCAAAACAAAAAATCAAAGTGGCAGCAGCTTATATCTTTTTACCTTTAGGTATGGTATGTGCAGGATTTAGCCTTCTTTTACTTTATGTTCTGAGGTGGAATTTGATTCACTTGCATGTTTGCGCAAATAAATATATTTAAAAAAAAATAAAAACGTAAAAGTACCCGATTAAGTGGAGCCCCTAAAAGATCAATGATCTAAAGGAAGGCGGGGGCTCAGCCCAGGCCCATGAATCAAAGGGCCCCCAAGGCTTTTAGATTCTTGGGCCTCCCAAAACCCGAAATACGAAAAGTGGAATCATTTAGTGGACATGGGAAGGCAGGGGCCCTCCAGCAAACAAAAAGTTAGGAACAGTCCAAGAAAAGTATGAAAAACGCCGAGCTAACAATAAAAATCAAAGGAAGAAACCCCATCTCGATAAGTAAAGGCCCAAAGTTTGAAACCAAAGCTGAGGATCAAAGAGAGAGAGAGAAAAAAATTCCGGCGGCCGAGGGCCCCCTAAGCGCCAGGGCCCCCCTGCATAGCAGGGTCTGCGGGGGCGCCCGTTACGCCACTGCTAAAGGGTCTCAGGGCTCATGTCATAATGCACATAGTTCCGTTTGATAGGAATACGTCCAATTTCAGCTATTTTCTTGGATTCTCTCCGAAAATCCGAGTTTACATCTCCGGAACAATAGCAAATATTGAAATGTTTCCGGATTTGTGGACAATTTTCGACTCGACTCGGCTTAGGCCAAATATTCGATAGAAAAGGAGGGATCGAATTTTCTATTTTCTTGGATTCTCTCCAAAATTCCGAGTTTATATCTCCGGAACAATAGTAAATATTGGAATGTTTCCGGATTTGTGGACAATTTTTGACTCGACTCGGCTTAGGCCAAACATCGATAGGAAAGGCGGGATCGAAGGCGGCAACGGAGCAGCGCGATTCCTTTTTCGCGGAATCAAATGCGAGGCAATGCGTTTCACGTAATTTCCGTGCCCGTCAAGCAGAAACGGGTTAAATGCACTCCAAGCGGAGCCTGAGCGCCGGAGCCAGGACTCGGAGTAGCAACTCTAAAGCGTGGTGAATTAAAGAGGTGTGTGCAAGGCGAGTTGAAGTTCATTCCCCGGTTTTTCTTTTTCTCCCCCTTTCGAGGGCGGAGGACTGGAAGGAGCAGAATTTGCGGGTTGGCACTGACAGTTGAGAGACCCGTGGCAGACGGGTTAAAAATAATCTATTACTCGGACGAAAGGCGGAATGAGGGGTTACCTACTCCGTTCCGTTCCCGCAGGTAGGGACTCGCGAGGAAAGAAAGCTCTCCGCTTTTAATTAAATGTTCATCAATTAAGCAGTCGAGTGTCGCAGTTGAGTAATAGTCGTTTATTTGATTATTCTTAATCAAGCACATGACCGGGGTTGCCAGCCCGGGTCGCCTACCGCCTCCGGTTAAAAGTGGGCCGTGGAAATTGATTAAAAATCTACCACCTAATTCCTCCTCCTCCTTCTTTACCTCCCTTCCACTATTCTCTCCCATTTCCCCCATTTCCCCCATTTCCCTTTTCCTCGACTTTTTTCTTGACCTGTTATTTCCTACTTCTCCTGCTCTTTCACTTCCTCATGTCTGTCGTCTTTCCTTTCTCTTTGCTCTCCTTCTCGTCTTTATAGTCTTCTTCCTTTTCTACTTTTTTGCTTTCCTCCACTGCTTTTTACAACTTTAGCAGTATTAATTTTCTCTTTCTTGTTATCTTCTAATGTTTCTCCTCATCCTCTAATTTTCTTTTTTTCCTTTATTATTCTGTCTCTTTCTCCTTCTGTAATGGTTTTAATCTCATCCCTTCCTCTACTCTTCCACGTGCGCATCTTGCCTGACTCCTCCAATCAATAAAAATGATAAAATAGGCACATAAAAATTAAAAAATAACATAAAATGCTCGCATCTACTTGATTGAGTTGCAATATATAGCAATGGGTTTGGAAAAAAATGACACTTTCAACTTATTTCAGCGAGATTTTTCATCCTTTTCTCCCTCTCTTTGTTTATACATCGAGCAAGGGATACCGTCTATCAATGACGTTTACGTCGCACATGCAGGGAGGGTGTCAAGGAATGCCTTACGTGTACCCTGTACCCTCCAAAGGGGGGAGGGGGAGGAGAGGGTCAAGCTAAATCTGGCGCCATGTTCCCAGTAATAATTAAAGCTGCCCGAAGCTCGAAAAGTTTAAACATTTAAGAAATTAAAGAGAAAGAGAGAGAAAAAGTGAAATTTCACTATTTTTTATTAATCGAATCGGTTGAAGCTACGTTTATTTAATAAAAGTTTTCTTACACTATTGAATCATGGCCTTAAATGGTTTTTTCTTTTAAAAGTAGTTTACACGTTTAAAATTTACCAGAGAAGATTGTTCGTGTTTCCAGCCGTTAATTTATTTCAATAAATTGCATTCTCAGTATTCTTCAATTATGTCCAAAACTGGTAGCTCAACCTTACGTTATTTTTAAGGGAGCCTTGAGGCTCCAAACAGTTATGTTACAAGGGGAAAGAGAGGATTAAAAAAGTACTTTACGTTATTCAAGCTCTGACCCAAAACATAGAGATTTTCCTAACCATTTTGAATGATGCAGGTTAAAAGTATAAACATGCTAACGTTGAAACTACGAACCTCGACGCTGTGTTTCAAAATTACCGCTCCTTTGACATTTTTTCGAGAGAATATTGTTGGATATTTTTGCACATGGATTTTAGAGAATTTTTTGGAAGGGCCAAGAAAAATCTCGCAAAATTTAGTCCAATTCCTGCGATCAGTTACCCTTGAAAAAAATATGACGTGACGAGGAATATGCAACATCACAAACCGAGATAAACGTGAATTAGTAGTTTCACATTTTTAGACTTCGGCATACTACGGGGCCGTACACAAAATACGTAATGAAATGGGAAAAGGGAGGTCGAGAGCATTAGGCTATTTTTTTACGTGTCGGTGGATAAGGGCCTACGTCACGAAAGCATTACGAGAGGGAGGTGGGTCGGAAAATCTAGAATTAAGCATTATGTATTTTCTGGACGGCCCCACAGAAGATCGAGTCAATTTAAGAGAGGTCGAATATAAAATTTTTGACTAAAACTGCAAATTTTGATGTTTACTTCGTCACATTTTAAATTATAAGTAAACGGTAAGTGCGATTTAACAAAAAATCTATACAGCTCTTTGTAAGACCAATATGGACAAAATTACAAAATTTGAATAGGCTAACGTAATTCTAACGATAGTTATCATGAACGAAAGAATTGACGACATAGGTTGGGTAACTATTATAGGTGGGATTTTAAGGGGTGTTTCAAGAAGAGGATTCCAAGAGGAAACCAATGAAACCACCTTTAGAACCTCAAAATTTTGTATAAACGGAGTTATAAACGTTTAAAGTTTCCAAATTTTGTCCGACCTCCCCCATTGACTCGATCCACTGTGGGCCCTAAGAGCCCTTTTAGAGATTTGTCACTCTGTCATAGGTACGCTCGTGCTTCTAGATGCAGATTACATCAAGACATGTATTTTTCCATACCATCAGCAAATGCATCTCACAGCCGCACCAAATTCTTGAAATAAAACATATATTTACGTCAGTTCGAAGACAGATCATTGCGATGGAGAGTCAAGCTCGACAATCGACATGCCATTATGAGTCAAAACGACGTACGTGCTGACTGTCCCGATTATGGATATGCGCGATTCTTGGGCAATGAGGAGTTACTGGCCGTGTGGTTGGGTAGCTAATGAACTGTCCTGCAGGCGACGCAGCCGCAGCTCAACAGATCTCATAATTTCCAAAAACTCATCTCGTTTAAGAAAAAACACTTTCTAAGCTTCAAGGTCGAGTTTCTCGCCTCGTTATCCAGATCAGAATCTCGAATCTGCAGCTATTTTTATAAGTATATAAACGTAAAGCGCGGGTCGGATACATCATCATTCAGTTTTGCATCTTCTCTCAGTTGACATCAGCGACAGACTACACCAACCATCATGAAAACCGTAAGCATTGATAACCTTCTCGACTCTTTTTACATGGATTTTCAGTTTTGTCAAAACCTATAGAGGGACTCGACAGTTGGACTGCATTTTGCAATTTGGAACTATACATTCTGGCTCTTCTGGATAAACACTTATGTGCATAGGGAAACTAATGGCACATACGTTGTTTTTAAACCGGGCTAGAATTTATAGTTCTAAATTGGAAAATATAGTCCAGCTCGTAGTTTCCCCCGCGAAAGAACGTAACTACAATCGGACTGCATTTGGAACTTTGGAACTATACATCCTGGCTCTTCTGGAAAAACGCTTGTGTGCATAGGGAAACTAATGGCACATACGTTGTTTTTAAACCGGGCTAGAATTTATAGTTCCTAATCGCAAAATGTAGTCGAATTCGATATTGCCGGATTCCCTCGCGAAAATTGCAACTCTACCTGTAGAGACTCACTGTACCGCATATCTGTCTAACTGAAAATTTCACTAATTTTTTATCTGATCTCATGCAAAAATCAGAAGAATCGTGGACAAAGATTGTATAGGTAGATTTTTGTGACAAATCAAATTGTTTGAGTCAATTTTGAAACCTTGGAATGAAGTTACGTTCCTTCGACCGGGAAAGACGGGCTGTTTCATCGACAGATAATTTTTGAATTTTAGGAAACTTCTCAGAAATCCCTTGAGACAAATCATGTCGTAGCGCGTAAGGAATTCATGAGCAGCATTTAATCATAAAATAGCTTGAATATTTTGTTTCATAATTCCTGCCGCTTTACAGCATGATTAAGCTTCCATTTACATTTTTTATGTGAGATTACCTCTGTCTTACTTTAACTTTTATTTTTGCGTATATTGACCACAGAATTTTATAGTTTCCTTGCGAGGCATTTTTTCTCTGTAGACCTTTTTCAATAGAGTTCAAATAGAACAAGAAGAAAACTCTAAATTCGAGAGGGATCACTGTTTATTGGCAAAATGCCTGAATCCTTAAGTTTGCTGATTTATTTGAGATTACACGTGTATTATATTTGAATGTATTGATGAATCTATGATTGAATGGTTAGTTGAAATCAATCTCGATTGAGATGATTTGGAATTCTATGACCATTCTTAACCAAACTTGCTTTAGTAGAGGAGACTTGCATTGTTTTTCCGTGAAACGATTAGTATATTTTTGTCAAAATTCTTGAAAAATTCGCACAAATTTTCACCAAGAGGTGAGGTTTGAGCATCACTTTGGGGTGGAATCATGAATGATTTTAGATATTTTTTCATTCAGAAGAGAAGGGAAGAATGGGTTATTAGAATTTTGGAAAAAGTGATTCATGCCATTAATTTGATGCCCATGGTCAAATCGTTGCTCCTCTGACGTAGGGGCGTATCTTTATTTCCACACAAGCCTTAGAAAGCATGGAGTTATACGGAGGCACAGGGGTCACGTGGAAATGGAGATACGCCCTTACGAGATGCGACGAAATACGTACTCGATCAAAACCACCTCCAATTTCGTAATATTGAAATTTTGAAACCCAGAATTCCGTGTATCAAAATTATTAAGAAAGAGATTCTACCCTATGCAACCCCCTATTCCCCCAAAACTCTCATTTCCTTCTAATTAAACTCAATCCTCTTCATTTCCTGCCGATACCGGCGAAAAAAAATGCTGTTGTAACATTCTGAACGTAAAAAGGTGTGCGAGAACTTGCAAAACGCTAAACTAACCACTACAGCAGTTAGTTTTACATGTTGACATTGCTAAAGTAAATGCTATAGCGGTTAATTCAGCGTTTTGTGACTTCTCGCTACTTTATCAAATCCAGAATGTTAAATCAGCATCCTTTTTTTCGGTGAAGAGGCTCATTCCAGGATAGCTATTTATTTCACCCCTGTTTTGTTCCCAGATATTGGTCTCTTTCTTGGCCGTCCTCTCAGTGGCTTCCGCCCAGAAGTTCTTCTTCTCGGACGCACCAACAGCCCCCGCCGGAGTGCCCGCCTCCCTGGCCCCAGCCGCACCCGGCGGTGGTCCCCTCGTACCCGGAGTCCCCGGCGGTCCTCTCGTCCCCGGTCTCCCTGGATTCCCGGCTACCCCCCTTCAACAACAAGCCCCCGCCGTTCCCGCTAACCCCTCATCCTTCTCCTCCTTCCCTTCAAACCCCTCAATCCCCTCCTTCCCATCCCAGTCGGTGCCCACCACCCTCGGAGCTGATGGCCTCCCCATCATCCCCAAGAACTACATCCCCATCGTCGAGCACACCCAGGTCAAGAACAGCGACGGAAGCTACAACCTCCGGTAAGTTTTCTTCTTCTTCTTCTTCTTCTTATTCTCTTGTGTGTATGCCGCACTAAGTGGTTTTAAAATTTCTAAGGAAACGCCCATATCCATAGTAACGTTACATTTATAACATTTGGAGAATTTATTCGACTGACTTGATCATAGAGCCCGCTCTGCCGTGCTGAGGAAGAACACCGTATGAACCTTCAGGCGTTGCCAAATTTCCATTGATAAAAACCAATTTTCTGGTAAACTTTACATAATTTTCTTACAATTTTTTACATGATGTTGTCTGCAATATCATCTGAAGTTCCTGAAAATTTCAACGGAAAATATTCATAACACCCGAAATAAGCTCGACTTAGAGAGTGTGCTCAACAAAGCCAACCAAACACAAAAGCACATTCCATCTCTATCTCCTTGTTTTGTCCTATCTACAAACACAAAATTCCAATAATCGGCCCGCTGAGTCCATCAATATTTGGTGTAACGCTTTGATACAACTATACGCGCTTCTATGTCGTGCGTGTTGCTTGCTCGAATAATTGAAGGCGTTTTGATTTCTCTTGCGCTGATCGTTTTCTTATGTGTTTGTTTTTGTTTTGTTTTTGCAGCTACGAGACTGCCAACGGTATCGCCCAGCAGGAGGCCTCTGCTGTGACCCTGAACGCCAAAGGTGAGCCAATCGTGGCCAAGACCGGCAGTTACGGATACACCGCTCCGGACGGCACCCCGGTCTCCATCTCCTACATCGCCGACGAACACGGCTTCCGCGTCAGCGGCAACCCCCTCCCCGTCGCCCCCCAGCCAGTCGCCGCCCCCGCCGCCCCTGGCTTCTTCTAGACGCACCGAAATGTTGATGTAAAAATTGTAAATATATTTATTAAATAGTAAGATCTAATTTCCAGTTTGTATTTATTGGTGACCCTCAACAAATCAGCAATATTTCAGCGATGCCTTTGAAGCTTTGTCAAAGTTGTCCGTATTCCCTTCTTGGCAATACTATTAAAAACTTTTTTTCATCATCGTCTTTAGTATTTCCGATGATCGTAATTTTGATAATATTTTAATAAATGAAATCATAAATATTGAAAAAATCACCCTACACTAGGGAAAAAAAAACACATTGGATCTAGAGTCTAGACTCTCGAAAACATTGACAAGAAAAAATACTCTTGATTCAATCGGATTTTTGCTTGAATCAAAACGAAATCCGCTTAAATTAAGAGGCTTGGTTCTTGATCTAAGCTAGATTCTGATTGAATCAAGAGTACTTTTTCTTGTCGATGTTTTTAAGAGTCAGGACTCTAGATCCGGTGTGTTTTTTTTTTCTAGTGTAGGAATTTATAATAAATAAATTACCATCGAAAATATTTTGAAAAATGTTCAGAAATTAAAAGGAACAATCAGCAAACTTGGCAAAAAGGCAAATTTCTAATATTTTTAATAATATTAGAAATGCTTTCGGTTTTATTGGGGAATTGCGCATTTCATTTGGATTCCACTTCCTCATTTCTATGAGTGCACGCTAACGCCCCTTAATTAATCCCATCTTAATTAAATCGACGACAAAGGTTTAAAAAAAAAAAAAAAAAAAAACCCGTACTCCTATTGCAGCAGTTTCAACTCTCCGATTATGTTACAAAGATTAGTGATTTAGATATTTCCTTGAAATTTTCTAGCGAGTGAAAGTGATTCACAGGCTATTCCAAGAGAAATTGTTGATTCGTTTTCTTAAAAAGATAATCAATATAAAATATAAGCGAAAACATTCAACTCTTCAATCTGAGATACGCTTTTTCCACTTTTGCCATTGATTTAATAGTAGCTTGTGGCAAAAGAGTTGTAACTAATATTCTTGGATAAATCGAGTTATTCGCCTTCTCAGTATACACAGAAGGGGCTTTTTTCATGCAAGAAAAAATTCATCGGTGATTTTGAAAACCAGACATAGGATGCAAAATATAAAAATTCCGAATTTATCGGAAGCAATTCATCCGCGGGAAAAATTCCTCGTGCTATCTTGAAATAGAAATGATTTAGTTACAACTCCCTACTCTAATCTATTGATAATATCGATTTTAATTTCTGAAAGAGTGACAGTCAGAAGGGCTAAATAACATTGCAAAGTTCCATTATTTCGTTTGAGCATTTAAAATTTATTCATTTACAAAGGAGTAACAGTTGCCAACTGTCCCTTAAATTTTTTTCTGAATTTTACTTGTAATTTGAAAAAAGTTGCTGAATATTTAGCATATCTGAGTTGCTGAATATTTAGCATATCTGAGCATTCACAGAGGAGAGAACATAAACTTCAATTGGACGTATTTATGGTAAAAGGAACTATGTGCATAGGGTTTGCGTGAAACTTAGTATTTCTTTTGGCATAAATATGTTCAATTAAACACTGCAAAATTTCCCCTCTCATTTTGTCCTTTTACTAGGATACTGCGTTGAGCGTATCTTAATGGATGTTTCACTGATTTTTTTCTCTAACTACGTGCAAGAATCGCTAATATTTTTCAGTCAGATTCTCGGGGGAAAAAGAAATTGTCTTAACAAAGTATCCAACCTTTGGATGGACCACTGGACCAGTAGAGTTACGTTCCCTCGTCTAAGAAAGAATGGATTGGCTCTCTTAATTTCCCGCATTTGAACAAGCGCTATACAAACTTCGCGAAGTATATGTGTTGAACTGTCGAGGAAGACATTTCAGATACTTTTGATGTTCTCAACGTGAGTCTTGCGCGATTCAAACGGAGGAATATTTTCCCGGTCGCTTGTATATTTTGTTCGTGCAAAAGGCTCATTTTGTCAGTGCGCCCATTTCCCAGAACCGGTTCCAAATTCCGGAAATTTTGAGAATTTCCTAAATTTTTCCCGGAACTTTTGAAATTCCCGAAAGCTTCCGGATCTTTTGCATTTTCCGGAACTTTCGAAAAATCAATACGAATCCCGGAACTTTTGACGGTAACGAGTGGAAGAAATTGGGAAAAAAAATTTCCGGATCCCGGAACTTTTGATGGACATGGAATGGGAGCACTGCATTTTGGGGAATTCCTTAATCTTAAATTTATGAGTTTTTTTTCTATGAGAAGATTAACTGATTTTCGCCACTATAAGTGGAGCACCAGCTCGCCGCGGTCCGTTCCGGAATAAAATGAGTTGGGAACTAGCTCGCATTCAAAATATACATTCGCAGAGGTATAAACGGGAGTCTGATAAGCGTAAACTTGGGGGCGGGGGCGGGACGGGTCAGGGTCCGGTAACAAAGTGCGGGTATAAATATGAAATATGAGCGCGGGCTGCTCGCGGGGGAGGGGCGCGGAGCGCCGTGAGTTATATGCAAGCGGCGATGCAGGCAGGCGAAGCGTGTGGCCACTGAGTCGAAAAGAGGCGCGCGTTCGAGCGGCAAATCACTCACGCTGGCCGCTCGCGCTCGCCGTCCATCGCCGGCCCCGGGCCCGGCTCGGCACTTGGCCCTCATAAAAATCACACACGTCCGTCCCTCGCTTTTTCTCGGGAACCCTCCTATCTGTCCTCCCTCTCCTTATTTCATCTCTTTTTATTCTAAATAAATGAACTGCTATGTAAATCAAGCAAACAGAAGTAGAGTACACTGGAAAAAAATTCGCTTGGATCTAGAGTTCAGACTCTTAAAAACATTGACAAGAAAAATACTCTTGATTCAATCGGATTTTTTGCTTATGAATCAAAAGAACATCCACCTAAATCAAGAGGCTCGACTCTTCGATTCAAGGAAAAATAGGATTGAATCAAGAGTATCCCTGGTAAAAATTGGCGATAGGAGCTGCGTTTCAAAATACCATAGGAGTTCTTATAGCCGACTGAAGAAGGCGATAGAAAATCATATAGCTGGCTGTAGAAAGTGGAAAAAATCATACTGCCGGGCTACGCGAAGCTATAAAAAATTATACAGCCGGGCTAAAGTTCCTATCGCCAGGCTTTACACTGTATCGCCTGGCTGTTGCTTTTTCGCCATCGGCTGTAAAAGGCTATAAGAAATTGTGTAGAAATTCGCGTGCTTTGTAAATCCTTAAGTTTGTACGGAATTGCTTTAATATTTACAAAACGCACATTATAATTTCCTTTACTACATATTTTTTTTTCATCAATTAAAATGAGAATAATCCATACAGAGTGTGCAAACATTTCAGAGCCATGAGTTGAAAAACGCTGACTCCACGAGATTAAATATTAGAGCCTTACACAAAGCGGAGCGGCGGCGCACTGGCGCCTACAAACCTAACAGGGATACCTCACGCATTGCGCAATGCGTAAAGTATCCCTGTTAGGTTTGTAGGCGCCAATGCGCGTTTCGCGCTGGCTGTCCGCCCGCCGCGCCGCGCCGCAGCGTACCACGGCGCTTGAGAGGCAACTATTTCACACCAGAGGTATTACACAGTATCATACGAAATTGAAGGCGCTCCAACATATTAGGAATGGCAGGCATCCTTCAAAAGTACGGAGCTTTCCTCGCAAAATAAATCAAGATACTACGGCCCAAAAAGAGAGCGGTAGTCCAAAAACTCACTAAGTCCTAGCATTCGTAATTAGTAACGTTTAGCATACACTTTATCGCCAGGCTGTTGCTTAATCGCCATCGGCTATAAAAGGCTATAAGAAATTGTGTTGCCGGCTGTAGAGGCTATTGGAAATCTTACAGCCGGCTGTAGGTCTATGGTATTTTGGAACACAGATTCTACTGCCAATTTTTACCAGGGTATTCTTTCTTGTCAATGTTATTAAGAGTCTGGACTCTGGATCCAAGCGACTTTTCTTTCAGTGTACCTTTATAGGAAGAGTATGGACAGCTCGAAAATGTAGAGGTTAGGTTTGATAAGGTCATGTAGCTCTCGGGGCCCAAAAGGGCAGCCGCAGCCAACCTATGAACTCGAATTATCCAGTGGTACGAATTTTCACACTTCTCACTACCCGTCGTTTCTTAAATTATAAAGCACGTTTGAAAGTTTGATTTCGCATACATTTTCTCAGTTTCTAGTGTTTAGACCTAAAAAAGTCAAACGGCAAAGTTTCCCGTATTTTGTGGATTTCTAGAGAACAAAATGGTTTCGTGGCGTTTTTATCCTGGGTTTTTTTTGCACGAATACTTTCATGGTGTAATTATAGAAATTTTGCTAGAGAAGATAAAAATTGTGAAGGGGAGCAAAATTTGAATCCTCGATAAATACCTATAAATGGTTTCCTTATCTTCTCAGTTTTCCAATGCAGTTGTGATTCCCTCGTATCTCACAAAAATGAACTAAACCACTCGAAGCTCATTCTTCGAGATATTAAAATTCCCCTTCGAAAATTCACATTACTATTTTTCGACCTAATCTCATGAGAATTGATATCCTGTAAATTATGCTAAGGTCCTCTACCTCCTTAATGGTCACATGTGTGAAAAGTCACTTAGAATATTATGAAAATGAAAAAATAAGAATAATAGAAAGTAAAAATGGCTTACCTGATTCTAGAAGGAGAGCAAATGATATGATAACAAAGGCTCGTTTCATATTCCTGTAGACAAATAAGAGAATATTAAAACAGCTCATAATTTCAGGACCTTATTTTGAAAAGGAGCGCTGGCTGTGAACAACCCACGTTTTCAGGAGAGGGTACAGGTTTCATTATACACCGTAAAAACCGTACACCGTAAACCGTAAAAATCAAGCCTCTCAAGAGGCTACTATATAGACAAGGTCTAAAGTAAAAAAAATAAAATAAAAAAAAAAAAAAATTCACGTATTTTTTCTTCAAAATCTTATATGGAAAATGAGTCGTACATCGGGAAGTTCAAAAATCAACTCATGCATGAACGAGATATTAAAAGTATTTTTAATTTGGATAAAATGGACTACATTATGCAATTGGGAACTATAAGTTCTAGCCCGGTTTAAAAATAACGTATGCGCCATTAGTTTCCCTGTGCACATAAGTGTTTTTTCAGATGAGCCAGAATTTTATAGCTCCAAATTGCAAAATGCAGTTCAAATAGGGGTTTGATTTTACAAATAAGGTCATTCATCGTATTTGTTTTCATTTGACTAATATTATTGTAAACTCTTACATCTTGTTTAGGAATTCATTTCTAGACTTCTCGTTGTGCAATCCGTTCTCTCCATGAAATTTTGAGGAGAAGATAAGAAGTTGTGCAATACTTTAATTTATACTTTATCCATAGGTCTGTGGCTCACCGCGTTGTTTTAAATTAAAATACTACTTTATTAGTTTTGAAGCGAATCGCCGCGCGCCAAACCATTTTGTACAAAATACTCAGACAATATTCTTGAAAAGACAAAGGAAAGCTACAAGAAATCTGTGAGAAAAAGGTCAATCATCATTCAAGTGAGTAAAATATGACGAAAAATCCTCGACGTCATAAACCGATATACGTGGGTCGTATTTTCACAACGGCAGCCATTCAGCCACATTCGGATAATCCTTCCTTTTATTCGAATATTCGCGCCCGTGTGAGGAAAATCGCCGCATGAACATCCCATTATTGCCAAATTTCTTGATATAAAATACGATTTTTCTTTAAATAATTCATTCTCACTTTAATTTTAGTGAACTTGAACATTCCAGTTAAAAATATACGTAATTTTCTCAAAGATAGATGTTTTTCAAAGCAAAATTCGAAAACTCGTGTATGTGCTAATGAGGAACGGTTTGATGTCCTTCCTTGGCACGGTAGACGGAGAGAAAAATTCAGCTAAAAGGGCTGAACTTCAGCTCGCAATACTCTCAGTCCAGGTAACGGCAAATGTCCATTATAGAGACTGAACATCGGTTTTATATGTGAAGTTTGTAATCAAAGGTAAATACAAATCTTCGATTAACAATAAGACTTATAATTTGGCTAATAAAAGTTTTGGCTACTCCAAGCGAGGCTGGTTCGGCTGACCGAAAACTTCAATAACCTGAACCGAATTCGTCGCCCATAGGAGCCGCAGATTTTTCCTCTGTGCATAGATTTGAAGCATGTAGGATCCTTAACTTTCAGTGAACTTTAACTTTAACTTTTTTTTTGACATAATGCATTTTTTTAAGCTGAAGCTTTAATTTCAACTCAAGACCAGAAAGATCAGTCCTGAAAATTTCAAAAGCCAAAGCCATTATTATGACTTAGATTTCCTGGAGGAAACAAGAGATTCGTGATTTTTTACTCATGATATCAGTCTATAATTATAATTCGCATTTGCATGTATGATTTATGAGCATTTTAATAGTGCTTTTGTATAATTTTTTTTGAAGAGACGGTTAATACAGAGGATAACTGAAGATGTCATGTGACTCCTCACGATAAAGACCTCAGAGTGAATCCGTTTTTCTTGGTTCTAGTCCGTACTTTTTTAGAAGTAGGTATCCAATTTCAGGGAGCGCATTCTTTTCCTTGATCCTCAAAATTTAATTATTTCCAATTATTTTGATTCTGTTTGGATGCGACTCGAAAATCAATATTTAGTGGTGCTATTTTCTCAGTTTGATCAAAGATTGTCCTTGTGCATGATCTTTCGACCCTATATCTTTTTCTTCTCGTCCGATCATATTGGATAATCGAGAATACACTGCACGGTCCCAAACCGAAAGTCGTAAAGGGAGGGAACCGACTCAGACCAGAAATCTCACCTCCGTATCTCAAAGCAGTATAAAACTCTTTCGCCTTTAGTTTACTGAGTAAACCAGGTACGGTTGGCCAGGTAGAGAGGGTAAGAGTATCGGCTCGAAGCTTCTCAACTTCCGCGCTTTTGATTTATCCGTCAAATAAAAGCAGAAACAATAAATCCGAAATGAAATAAAAGCAGCGAAAAACTGCAAGACCGAGCACACAGGGTGATGACGAGAGGGAGGGAGGAAGGGAGGGGAGGGAGGAAGGGAGGGGAGGGTTAGGTACGGAACAGCCCAGGATTTTACGTTGCCATATAAATCATCATAACTTGAAAGCGGAAATGAAACAGACTCTATGCTTCACGCTCGCAGCAGCGTCTACAATGACAGATTACGGCGCATGCCGTCCAATTTTCATGCTAAAATAATGAAAGTGAGATTAAGTGCCGGGTTATACTGCGCTAATTTTATCGCAACACGGCAAAATAAGATTATCATGCTGAAAAGCTGGGTTATTCCCATTAAAATTCTGAAATTTCAAAATCTCGGAGCTCCTCCAGGTACTCCTGCAGCTCTTATCCTGGCTTTTATCACCTTTTTTTGCAATTCCTTTTAAGCATGAATCAAACTTGTGGAGATTACCTCTAAATACAGCTAAATGAGATTATGATACTGAAAAACTGGAAATTTTAGTTTGGTTACATGCAATTTTTACCCATCAAAGGTATATTTATTTGGATGTAGGTATCTCTTGCGTACAGTTAATAGACCCATAGGATATATCGGAACGTTTTAATGGTAATTTAGCGTTTTTTTAGGTTAAATTTTGATTTGTGGATTCCCCACTGGCAACTCGGCAACAAAAGAAAATTCTTCTTTCGGGACATCATCCTTTATCCGGAGGGCGACAACGATAAGCTCACCTTCCTCTATTGCTTAGCGACGTGTTAAGTTTAGTAAGTTAAGTGAAAATTCCTTAAGTCGAGCGACGCTTATGACGAACTAAGCCGGAAGTTTCTTCGGTCCCCAGACAATTCGACTTTACAAACTTGCACCATGAGTACACTACACAGTGGCTTGTTTGTAAAACAAGTTGCTCAACAATCTGCAAACAGATGATTTCAAGGGTTAATCGGTGGAACCTCTGAAGGGGAGGGTTCCATCTGTCGCTATAAAGTTAGGGAGGGGTCTCTATTTGTCTCTGCTCCCACTTATGACATTCTTTTTGGGGTGAATTGTCTGCATATTTGACATTGTGAGGTTTCCTCGCCAAACATTTAAAATACAAAAAGAACTACTGAGATGGAAAGCAGCACGAGGAGACACATCGAGGGGTGGAAAACGCATCGACGGTGAAAATACAAAGCCAGGTTTCTCGGTTTAAGCTGATTCTTTGCCACATTGTAAGTACTCGTTAGAGGGATAAAACAAGATGGTCGTTATTTCATAAAACATTTTCTGAGGGCTATTCAAGAATGTTTACCGGAACCTTCCGACAAAGTAATTAATAAAGAAGTTAGTAAAATAATTACAATTTAATTGAAATTAAATTTAATTTTTGAAATATATATATATTTTTAACATTTTATTAAGTAGCTACAACTTGAAATGGGGTCAATGGCAACCCTACCCGAAAAGAGTTAATAATTCCATATTTAAAATTATTCTGCTGCCTGGTGGGATGCCAAAACCACCATCAAACCTTACTTTAATTAATCTGTTATCTTACTATCTATATAATATCTAAAATCTACGGATACTATTCAAGGATTTTTTTTATTTTTTTCAAAGTTCAATTATTTCCTTCTAGGGTTTACCTCCGACACCGTCCGTGAGGACACAACATCGGGATCAATAAAATTCTTTCATTAAAATAAGTGGTGACAGAAATTTTGAATTAACCGATTTAAAATCCTTGTAATGTAACGTTCCTAGCCAAACGATGGTTGAGCGTTGCAAAAATTCCATTCATAAACTGTGGTTTTACCAGAGACAAGAGACCCTCCACTGGCCTCTTGGCGACAGATGGAAGCTTTTACTTTCGGGGATTCAACAGTTCCTTATGGACAATTATAAGGGAGCAACAGTCATCACCCGAATTTCGGCTGTTGACCTACCTACATGGTCGATGATGAGCTTCGGGTGACGTCATGAGCCAAGCAACTTTCCCAAACGTCGGCCATCTTCGGCTTGTTTGCAAAACGAAACTGCCAACACGTTGTTGAACATCAACCATGTAGGTAAGTCAACAGGAGAATGCTGAAGTCCCGAAAGTAAAAGCTTCCACCATGGCCAAGATACTAGTGGAGGGTCTCTTGTCTCTGGGTTTTGTAAAACAGTTAGGCATTTCCGAATGAATGTTTTACTGATAATGTCTACGTAAAATTCTGAAAAAATTTGGAAATATTGCATTCAGATATTTTTTTGTCAAAATTGAAACTTTTGACTCGATTTTGCAACTTAGAGTTGACTTAGCACTTTCGTCTTGGATATGCTGGATTTGAGTTTCACCGTCGAGAGAGGATATGTGGTCAGACCCAAACGGAATAAAGTCTGTGGCTGTTTTGAGATTAAAGACTGTCCCCTGCAGAATATCGCAAGTTCCATGCAACGATGCCAAATTTTCATCGCCGTTGACATTTAGTTTGAAATTCCACAGATTTTAATCCGCAGTACGAGAATGAATTGGATTGCATCTAGCGAAAAGGAACCAGCGCGGTTACAGTGTTGGAAAAATGTTGCTTCTTCATAATTATCTGAATAAACCTCCCAGAATAGCAAATGGTTTTGGCTCCCTACTAGCAACAAAAGAATTGTTAATTTTAGAGGAAAATCATCGTGTAAACTCTAATACTGTACTACTTTATCGGGTGTTTCTAAAAAAAAAAGGAGAAGTCGCACGATTTTGAAAACACTGTAATCCCGCTGGTTCATTTTTGCTAAATGCGATCCAATTTTCTCTAGATTTCCATTTTTTCAAACGATTTCCCTGTCTTAAAAGAAGAGAATATTGATCGCCAAAGAAAAGCTGGCAATTGCACGGCGGCGCTTGTGATATTTTTCTCGAGGGGGCAGAGGAGGGGGGGGAGGTCGAGATCATTTTGACCAACAAGTGTCCCGAGCGCAATTTTCAGGGGGCAGTCATGTCTTAATTAAAAATCTCTAGCGCGTAGACGAGGACTCGGCGAGGCAACTCCACGTTCTCTTTCATTTTGGTTCACTGGTGATGGGCAGTAGAAGAAAAGAAAAGAGGGAGGGGGGGGGGGGGAAAAAAATCAAGCATGAAAAGTGAAGAGAAGGCGACAAACGAAGGCATAAGTGGTACACTCGCAGAAAACAGTAAGTCTGTCGTCGCCGACCGGAGAGGAGTGGGGTCGGAGGGGGGAAGGGGGGCGAGGGATNGGGGGGCGATGGCCACTTGAGCTTGACCAAAGCCGTCTCCTTGATTTGTCGCTTTTTCCTTTTCCGCTTGGAAATTTTTACGATCCGCGGATCCACCCTCCATCAAGCTCACCTCTCGCCTTTTCCCCCCTTTTTCCGCTCCGACTCTTTTTCAAAACGTCTGCTCATTTTTATTTCGCCTCCTCGCATCGTCATTCCTCTCGCTTCCGTGGCTCCCGGCCGCTTCCGGCGCACGTACCGAAATACAAATGGTTCCCCGTGTCTCATCCCTTCCACGCTGTTCGTACATAAAAAGGGAGAGAGAGAGGGGGGTGGATAGTAGCCACAATCAGCGGCTATTTAAAAGAGTGTCAACTACCGTGGTAGGAATGGTGTCTCCCGTGGTGGGTGCTTAAACTACTTCTTGTAATTTTACTGCGAGCGCGAACTCTGCCGTGATAGCGAAGAGAGCCGTAATTTTTTTTTATTAACAACATAATTATTTACAAATTTTTCATCACTACCATGACCATACTGCCATGCTAAGGAAGAACGCCGTATGTAATTTCACCGCGAGCGTAAACTCTGCCGTGATAGCGAGCGAAGAGAGCCGTAAGTTTTTTTTTTTTTTTTTTTTTTTTTATTAACAACGTAATTATTTACTTTGTCACCACTGCCATGACCATACTGCCATGATAAGGAAGAACGCCGTATGTACATACATTTTAGAGTTACCAAATTTCTCCGGATGAAAAATGCATTTTAAAGGAAAGTTGTGAATAGTTATCCTTGAAATTTTGAGATATTTTAGTTTAAAGTGGGTACACATTGACCGAAAAATTTCAAGAAAAATATCCGACTGCAGTTTTCTTGAAAATTTGTATTTTATCGGAGGAAATTTGGCAGTGCCTGATGGCTCATACAGCATTGCTCCCTTAGCACGGCAGTATAGCTTATGGTAGCTGTTGACTATGTTTAATTTTTGACTAGGATGGTGGAAATAAAGTAAACGTATTATAGATTGAGGTTAATAACTAAATAAACCTATCATACCGTAAGTGCAAAAATGAGGTCTTGAAAAATGGGCTCAGTAGCGTCTGAGGAGAAAATTGTATTTTTAATTTTCTGCTCAGACGCTACTGAGCCAATTTTTCAAGACCACATTTTTTGCACAGCATTTTGCATTTTGAGCTAATTTGGCGACGTGCAATGTATTTAGGCTGTTCCTGGTTAATGCCGCCCAACTGTAAAAAATTAATTAAAATGTGCCGTTGTAAAATTCGCGCTCCCAAGATATTTAAAAGTCAAAAAACGCGAAAAAAAAATCGGATATTGTTTTATTTCTTTGAATACAAACAACAGGACGTTATTATTTACATTTTTACCTGCACAGAAAATCGCGTTAATGACAAAGGATTTTTAACAATAATCCCAAATTAATAATGCTTGCTAGCTAAAACTCTGAAAAATTAAATGAGAAAAGAATATGAAACTTTACCAATCGGAAATAATCGGGAGTCGTGTTTTCCGACTATATATATGCCTATATATATGACTATATATCCGACGTATATATGCTAAAAGGAACTATGTACATAGGTTTTGCGTGCATCATCATTCCTTTTAGCATATCGACGGTGCAAGTCGGCAATCACATAACTCGTTTGCGGTGTCTGAAAATCTCCGCAACTATGTTACTTTTTTAAAGGAGAACAAATCGACATGATCCCTTGAAGTTTTTGCAGAATTTTCCTCGTACATAGGAGAAAAATCACGGCAGTTTTAAAGAATTACCGTTGAGTAGTTCTCCGTTTAAAAAGTAAAGTATGACAGGAAGTCTGCGACGTCGCAAACCGAGTTATGTGATTGCCGACTTTCACCGTCGATATATATGTCCAATTAATGTACAGGGTTTTGCAATTGACTATCAAACTCGTCGTCCTCTAGATGGATGAACGTAGCTATATTTTAACGTTGTAACATTTCCACTTGCAATTGCGGTACTAACTGAAAATTTAATAACAAGGTTGAAGACTAGTGCTGGGTTTACACTTATTTGTTCTCACCTTAAGGTTACATACAGTTCGGGCCACATTCTTCAGTGTTTTTCCCCTTGAAAAGTAATTGATTTTTTTTTCTGAGTACGCGCACGAAATATTTTGTAGCGTAATTGCATTGTCATATCCCTGGAAAAAATTGCATTGTTTGAGTCAATTTTACAACCTTTGAATTGGACTACGTTCCTCTGTTGGGAGATAGACGCTAGAATATGTGGTCCGTCGACCTGAGCTCTCAGATCATGTGTAACTAAACTTTTAAGCTGATTCGGGATAAAAAAAAGTTGAGCCAAGAATTTGCTTGAGCAAACCAAAAGTACGTTTTGGTGGATCGAGTAAGGATTTCTAACTGTCAACAGGAGGATAGAGAAAGGGAGAGATTTTCAGCATTTCTTTTTGTTCGAATTCAAGCGTTTTCGCTCCCCCTGACGAAAAAGTTTTCCAACCGCATGGAGCTCGTGACATCATAGAATGTCTATGCAGAAACATGGTGTCAACCAGTTGATCGAAGTAAAATATTGCAAAAAAATGCGATGATAACTATTCAAATTTTACGGACCGAAACAGTAAACAGACAGGCAAGAAAAACACGACAACGGTTGAGGTGTTGTATTTTTCGATCAGTAAATATCTGTTCCCTCGTTCTAAACGTCAAAATACTCAAAATAAATGCCTTATGCGCGGATTGAGAAGAATGCAACATGTGAATAGAGACATGATGAGAATAGTTGAGATTTATCTCATTTTATTTATTATCCCTTCCTTTACAGTACTTTATTAAAATTCAAGGGAAAAATTAGTTTTTTTCCAGAAAATATAACTAATTAACTATTCTTCTTTTTTACATCGAAAAATTTTCCAAGAATTTTGTGCTCAGAAGATGGTCTAGGATTTTCTAAGGAATATAAGCAAAATATATGTATACCGGAGCAACACTCATTCTTGTTTTACCATCGTTGTGTCGCAGGCATTTAGCAATCGCCGGCAAATTGCAATCGATTCATGTTGAATAAAAACCATAAAATCTCATAGATGTAAAGAAACGATGGTAGAGACCAGTAATTCTCATACTTGATATCCAAGCAGACGTTTTTCTTTACCAGCTAGAATACTAACGAGTGCATGCAATGAAATCAGTGACCTTATCTAGGCTCGGTTCGGGTAGGCAACCTAACTAACGGCCTGGTAAAGCGGAGAGTATCGCCGGGCTTTGAAGGCTCTCCAAGCCGTGGCAGTACTTTTGAAGTCCTTTATACAAATTAATACTTTGATACGTCGCCGTCAATATATGTAAATAATATTGCAATTTGACGAATTAACACGCATGCCGTCTGTAAAATGCAGACGGTTGCTGATTGCCTGCGACAGACGTGGGGTGAAAAACGCGGAGCAAACTAAAAATACAAGATAGAAAAACTTTTATGTATTTGAAGTGCTGAATCGACCAGTCGCAGTGAGGAATGCAGGCTGATTTATGGATCTGTGCTTTTTTTCTTTTTTCGATTCTTTGTCCGTAAAAAGGTTATATTAAGTCGCGAAAAAACTTCTAGTTTATGTGCATGTAGCGAGGATACTGTAACATTTCATTTTCGGTTAATTTCATAGGAAAAATTACAGTCATCCCTTTTAAAAATAGAATATTAGAAAAACTGGTTTGGAAAGAACTTAATATCATCGCCAATGTATAAGTCTACTTTCTGAGTTCGTTCATGATGATATCTGTGTACGCATGATGACGAAAGTCGCTAAACTCGCTCTCAATTAGCGACTTCGTAGAGGTCTTCTTACCTTTTTTTATTTTTTTCTTTCTTAAAGGAAGACCGACGAATATTATTTCTTAGAATTTTGACTGATTTTTACTCATTATGCACAAAATATTCTGTAAAAATATTGAACAATTAGTAACGCTCTTTGGTTTCTCTCTCCGGAATAAAACAACAAAGGAGATTATGAAACATCCTAAATTGAAATACATGATTTGTGACTTCCATCACTGACATGCAATTTTCATGCGTACTTGCAACTTTTATCGGTAACACTTTTCTGTATGCTCAGTAAAATTAAAATTAATAATTATAATCACCAGTGTATACTTAACTTACATCAATTCAGAAAACTACGCACTGTATGATTCTTCCTGTGCAATTGGCGGTTCTCCCATCATTCCCCTGGATCGTTCAGCGTCCTGCAGGTCTCAGAACTTCATCACATGTCTTTAAAGTATCTTTCAACCTCTATCGCTGAAATTGCCGGCATGAGATAGCAAATCTCACAAGTGTACCCATATTACTAAGTGTACTTGATACTCGATATTAAAGAAATAATCAATTAAGACTTGTTATTCTAAAGTTAATACTTTCACAAAAACTAATCGAATCAGTCCTGAATAATTCTCAAATCATCCGATTATTTATAATTATTCAAAAAGTCTCCGGATGTATTTTCACTCTTACTTTTTTAGCTAGGTATAGGTCACTTTTTTATGATAAGCATGATTAAATGACTGTTTTAACGAGTGATCAACTTAGATTAGTGTGTAGGGGCTGAAATTAAGTCACGGAAGTTACTCAACGTGCTCGGAACAAAAAAGTTTATATTTTATACTGAAATCAAAAGATCAGCATGCAGATTTGACTATTTTACATTCAATTTTATTTTAACCATAATTCTCGCATGACATTGTAAACTAAAAATAGTATCACTATCAGTTCACTTCGTCCTTTCGTTCTTCGTCGTAGAAATCAAACATTTTAAACCGGCGATGAGTCTATTTAACGGGAATTTTTGATGGCCAAATTGAAATGCGCGAATTTTCCCGAGTTCACCGATGTACAGACGCGTGGTGCGCTCGGAGTAGCGAGGGTAGTAACAACAACCCCTCCCGCAGCGAAACAGCTTCGAGACTGAACTTCCCGACGGTGAGGAATCAAAACACGGGAGTGGGCACTGGGTGGCGCAAGCCGGCCTTTGAGTTCCAACGCACTTACCCCACCGCGCAAGACTCCCCTTTACCCCTCGACAGTGGTGTAGTGTCAAACGGCTAAGGGTTCAAGCGTCCCCTCCTCTGAGTGGCTTGTTAAATTTTGTGTTTTTACTGCGTGCTGGTTAAATAAAGGGGGCGACTGAAGGGACAAAGAAGTAAAAGATACAGAAAACACTGGAAAGGGTGAAGAAGATGAAGAACTATCAGGAAAGGAGGAGGAGAAGAAGAAGAAGAAGAAGAAGAAGAAGAAGAAGAAGAAAGAAAAACAACAACAACAACAACAACAACAACAACAAAAACAACAACAATATCATCATCATCATCATCATCATCATCATCATCATCATCATCATCATCATCATCATCATCATCATCATCATCAACAACAACAACAACAACAACAACAACAACAACAACAACAACAACAACAACAACAACAACAACAACAACAAAAACATCATCAACAACAACAAAAATACCAGCAACAACAAAAACATCAACAACAACAGAATCATCAACAACAACAAAAACATCAACAACAACAGAATCATCTACAATAACAAAAACATCAACAACAACAAGATCATGATGAAGATGGATATGGAGGTGGATGATGGAAATGACTATGATATTGGAAATAGAGATGGCGATGGACCTAGAGATGGAGATGGGCATAGGGATGGAGTTGGAGAAGAAGAAAAAGATGGAGACAATAATAAAAATGATGCTGATGAGGAAGACTAGGAAGGATAGACACGACACGACGAAGAGGTAGGAAAAATATAAAATAAACAAATGATGGAGATGGCGTGAAGGATGATCATAGGAAGGATTAAAGAAAAAAAAACAAAAATGAGGAAGCGGTGAAGGAAAATGACGAAAAATGAAAGCAGGGGGACGAAAAAGCGAGAAACTAGAGGAAGAAGAGGAGGAGGGAGAAGTAAAGAATAAAGTTGAAGAGGAACACGAAAAAGAAGGTGACGTGAAAATTAAGAAACAAAACTGGAGGAATAAAAAGTAGACGAGGATTAAGCATAACTAGGATGAGTACCTAAATAAGAAAAAACGAGGAAGAACGAGATTAAGACCAAGAAATAGGCGAGGAGTAAGAAAAAGAGGTCAAAAACGAAGAAGAAGAATAAGAAGGAGTGGAAGGAGGAGAATAAGAAAAGGACGAAGAGAAAAAGACTAAAAAAAATGTAGAAGAAAATGAGGAAGAAGATTAAGAAAAACTCGACAGAGACCAGGAAAAATAAAAGGATATGACGAGGAAAGAGAAGAAAAAGCGGAAGCAGAAGAAAAAGAAAAAACGTAAACAGGATGTAAGGTTTCAGCACCCCTTCCCCAGTTTCAAACCCACGCTGCGCCTCTTTCTTTCCTTCACAGGGATCAGAAATCCCTACCACGCTTTTCATCTCATGCGTTAAAAGTAAAGTGCTGACTTTTATTGTAAGCATAGCCTTCGTGAATTTATTTCGCCAATTTAAATGGATAATTTATTTTCACCCGGAACTTCTCGCCGTCCTCTCTATTACTCGAGTCAGGAGGGCCCACGGAGAGCGCCGACCCTCGAAGTTTAAAGTACATCTTTCACGTAGTATTAAATTTTAGTCTCATAAACTTCCGCGTTTTAAATTTACTTTTCGAATTGGACGCGCCATGATTATATTTTCCGAGCTATACACACCCTATTCCTCGACAAAACTGCAACTGAAATGGGGTTGTATAAGAATTCTGAAGTGTATGAAATGTAATCAACGCTCTCTCCAACGTAAAATATAGGGTGTGCAAGAAAGAAGTTGAAGCCCTCCATCATTCAAAATGGTGGATTATCGAAAAACTGAATTTTGTTGGTCCCTCCGCTGTATTAGGACGAGTCTCGACTGCACTTAAGTTCGGCTTAGCGCTTCTAATTGGTCGGTGGTGCGGTTTGGACTCATCGATGGATGTTGCATCTCCAAGTGAATGAGCCGACGAAAGGCCCTCGGAAAAATCTGCCCGATTATTTCAAAAGGAAAATTTAGTGTATTTTTTGGGGGCCATCCGATAGAGTTCGGGGTTGATTCAAAATTTTAGAATGGTACCCCTGTCTTAAGCACGGTTTTCATTGTAGATTAATCTTTGGATACAGAGATGGGGTGCTAAAATTGTTAGACACGGGACGGACATGTCCGGTGAAAGATGAATTAACGCCTTAAAAATCTTGAAAAGTCTCCTCAAATTGTCGATAGTCACCAAGCTCCAATGTTTTTGAAAAATTGAGAAATCAATGGTTTCAAGTAAAACTAGTCTTAATATTTTCTGTAGACAATTCGCTTACAAATTCCAATTTTTAGGCATCAACAGGTAAGTTTGAACTTTCTTTCCGCCAAGAGGATCCATGTATGTAATTTTGAAACATCAAACACGTATCTCTCAAAATAGCAATAACTGCACTTATGCGCCTCGTCCGCCGAACCCATCAATTGACTCCAATGTGCTTAGCTGGGTGGAAATCCTTCGTGGATTATATTTTCCATGAGCTTCACATTGACCTCATCAATTTTTGCCTTAAAATTTGCTATTTCAACTAATTTTTCTTATAAAAAATTGTAAATCTTTAAACGCTTTCTTGATTCCGTTTCAAGAGAGAACACTTAAAAAATAATCGCGAGGCTAAAACCATGAAATCGGATCACTGCATTCAATACTGTCGTAAATGCTGTCAAGAGATCCCTTAAAAAACTGCTGAAGAAAAAAGTTGCGCCAAACCTGGATGAAATTCGCTTAGCGAGTTCCGGAAACTCTCGAGCAAGAGCTGGAATTAATAAGTATTCTGCCTTTCAGAAGCTGCGCGGAGCGATGTACTCTTCCGCGCTTAAGAAAAACGCCGTATGAACATTCAAACGTTGTTGCCATTCTCGCGATAAAATATTCATTTTTTAGAAATGCCAGGAATATTTTCCCCTGAAATCTTCCAATCTTCAGATTAAAGTGCGAGTAGAATTCTCCGAAAAATCGGAAAATATATACAAGTTCCCCCAGGAATTCGTGTTTGTCAAGTGAGGGGCTTGGAGGACAAGGCGCATAAGTGCAGTTTTTTTATTTCGAGATACACGTGTTTGAAGTTTCGAAATTACGCGGATCCTTATGGCAGGAAGCAAGTTCAAACCGACTCCTTGATGCTTCAAAACTTGAATTTGGTAGCTAATTTTTCACAGAATATGCATTAGGCCTAGTTTAACTTGAGATCATTAATATTTTAACTTTTTCAAAAACTGATCATATGCACATTGTCCTCCAAGCCCCTTAAGTGAAATTCGGTTATGCCTGAGGGCTTCTACGGTGTTACAGCAGTATTGTTTAAATACTCGAATTTCCCGACTGAATCGAATTCTTTGAGGACAAATATTTCTAGGAACTGTCGCTTCGTCAGTCGTCCGGAGTAAACAATGCAAACACTCTTTTTTATTTATTTTTAAATTGAATTTAATTAAAACGGAGGAGTTTAAATTATCAGATCACTATAGAGTCGATGAACAACCCTTATAAACGTTTCCAATAAACTGCGCTATGATCGAAAGAAACTTTTAAGTCGACTACCCCTCTCGACCATTCATTCGGATGCATTTCAACACCAACTAAAGTTTCCCGACTACTTCATACTTTTCCACCCTCCCTCTTCATCAATGAAACTTTATTGAGCTTTATATGAAACTTTATAAGTATTTTAAACGAGCCACAATAAACTCTCTATCCGTCCATCATCCCCTATTAAAAAATCGGGGATGGGCTCGGCAGTCATTAGACCGATTTTATTTGATTGCGCAGTTTAATAACGGCATTGTTTTTATTGTCACTTGAATCGCCCCCCGTTTCGTACGTTTTGTATTTTTTATTACATCTTAAGTCGTTTTGTCTTCTGACTATGCGGTATTCATGAGCGTAATAATTGTTTAAAAGCAGTACAAATGCAATGATATAGTTTTGATGCTAAAAGGGCCAGGGCCGGATTTACCTACTTGCCGCCCATGGGCCGCCTGTATTTTGCCGCCTCCTTCTCATTCATATTGAAACATCAATAAAAACCATCAAGTGAACGTGCCAGCTAGGGAGGGCTGCATAAGACGCGTTTACTCGTGTTGAACACATGTTTTGGGAATGCCCTGTCAACACTACTAGCAGAAGTTAAGTTTCGTAAACCTATCTCTCTGTGGACAAAGCCTTCCATTCATAAGATATGAACGAAAAAATTATGAAAGAACAAACATGAATCTGGTTTCATGATTTTAACTTCCGCCGCCGCGCCGCGCAGACCGCACCGTGTTTTGAGCAATGCGTGAAGTATTCACGCAGACTTGAAGGCGCCATGCGTTTCACGTTGACCGCACTGCGTTTGGCGTAATGCGTGAAGTATTCATGCATTCTTGTAGGCGCTATCCGTTTCACGCTGACCGCAATGATGACCGTACTGTGTTCGATGCCATGCGTGAAGTATTCGTGCAGTCTTGTAGGCGCTAATATGTGTTACATGCCGATCGCCGCGCCAAGTGCTTCTCCTTTTCATCTAAAGTCCTCGGTATCATTTCTCTTTAAGTCGCGCCGTTCCAGGCCAAATTGCGTGTATGGTTTCTCTCAAGACTCGACTAATTAAAAGTGCTGTCTCTTGTATCACTGAAAGACGACAAAATTAAAAATTACTCTACTCTCAGGAAATGGAGAGATTTTGTCACCTTTTCTCGTTTGTAATCCTTTTTTTCTAAATCCGATATTTTTTTATACCTACACTTGAAAAAATTGCAAACTTTTGCCGCCCTCTAGATTTGCCGTAATGGGTCGCGGCCCATGTGGCCGCCCCTTTAATCCGGTCCTGAAAAGGGCGTATTTTTTGTTGCTGACTTGGTTTTTTATTACTATGGCAAAATTGAGGCACGATTGGTAAAAAAGAACCAACGATA